GTTGTTGCCCCCTTTCCTCCTCCCTCCCTTCCTCCACTTCCTTCATCCTCGCCCTCCCCTTTTCTCATTCATTTGTTCACTCTCTTTACAAAGGCTGCGCCAATTACGCGTGGCATGGACGGAAGATGCAACGCGTAATTGGCGCAGCGCGCAACCCTGGAAATTTCGATCAACATGTTCCTCGCGGGGCTATCCCCTGTGTTGTCCTTTTAAGTCAAAAAAGGAAAAACTTGGGCGTAAGACTGTGCCCCTGGCCCCCGGCTTTTTCACCACAGCGGCTCCCGCCTGATGCATCTTCACAGTTTATTCGAAATCGCGCTCTCGCGTGGAACTTGCTCATATTTGATCCATGCACCGCGCTCTCGCGTGAGACTTCCTCGCAATGTATGGCATCGCCGTTGCAGTATTGCGCCTTCGACACTCGGGAATAACGCTCTCGTTCTGGAAATCCTCACGATCTACTAGGGAATCGCGCTGTCGCTCGAGACTTCCCCGCGATCCATGCAGGACTGACGCTTCGGCGACTCGCCCGCTCGACCCTGCCGTCTGGCCCACCCGCCCGACCCGCCCCGCCCGACTGGTTCTGCCAACTGTTCTGTTGTTCCTAACCTTCCTTTGCTGACCACTGTCGTGTTCCATCCTTCTCTTTCCCCTTGTCGCTTCCCTTCTCCCTTCCCCTGTTTTGGGGGGCTGCGCAAATTACACGTGGCAGGTAAGACACTTCTGCCCTCAAGGAGGGTGTGATCGACGACGAAGAAGGTTATTCTCGAGGGTTTGGGATATGCATGATGAATGACAAGCGAACAAAGAAGAACAACCAACATTATATTCAATGTTGATCAATTCTTGAACGGCACATGCGAAATCAAATTTCAGAAACCCCGCCTGCTCGACCTGGCCGCCCGGGCCCGCCTTCCCGACCCGCCCGCGAGGGTCTGCCCGCCCGATCTGCCCGTCTGGTTCTGCCACGGGCGTTCAAATCAGTCATTCTTGTTGTTGGCCACCCTTCATCCGCCCTGGCAATCTCGCCTCGGTGCCAGCTGCACGTCCTTTGAAAATTACGCTCGCGCTCAAACGTTTCGGGGGGGCCCGCAGCGCCCCCCCCCAACAACAACGACACTCCCGTTCGATACTTCCTCCGCTTCTGCTCGGGACCAAGGCTTTTGTTCGCTGCAGAAATCAAGCCTCCCAGAAAAAACCTGCGTTCCCGCTCGATGCTTTCTTGCTTGTAAATCAGGACCGGCGCTCCCGCCTCGGCGCCGCAAGCGGCCACCCCTGCAAACAACGACGCTCCAGTTCGACACAGTATCTGGTTCTGCTCAAGACTCCCAGGGAAGCCATGAAGCTTCCCCAGTCCCTGTTGGATCTTAGCCCAGCAGGCGCTATCGGTGGGCAGCCTGCATCCACCCTGGCGTTTTCGCCTCGGCGAAGCTGCGTCCCCTTGGGACAATTTCGTTCGCGTTCGAACGTTCCGGGGTTGCGCTGGGAACCGCCCCCCCGAACAACAACGCTTCCGCTCGAGACTTGGTCTTTTTCTACCTGGGACCGGGGTCTTGCTCGCCGCCGAAAGCCGGCTTTCCAACAAAACAAACGCTCCCGCCGTATACTTCTTCGCTTACAACTCAAGACGAGCGTTCCCGCCTCGACGCCACAGACGGCCCCCTTGCAAACAACATCGTTCCCGCTCGATGCTCCCCTGATTTTTGTCAAGACTCCCACAGGCCCTGGGGCTCCCTTCGTCCCTGGTGCCGGTCCTCAAGGATGCAACAGACACTAATGGAGATCTGCACCGGCCCGCGCATCCCTGGCGCGTTCCGCGTGCCAGGGGCGGTCCAGGATTCCACTGCGGCGACCCCGTCGTCGTCGTCGTCGTCGTCGCCGTCCTCGTCCTCGTCCTCGTCCTCGTCCTCCTCCTCCTCCTTCTCCTCCTCCTCCTCCTCCTCCTCCCCCTCTGTTTTCCCTCCTACCTCCCCATCTTTTTCCTGGTCCCTCCTCTTGTCCCTTTTTTCCCCGAAGCCAAAATAAAAACTTGTCTGGACCAGACCTTTCCCAACATTCTCTGAAGCCTCTTTCAAAAGGGCCCGAAACCGACCACTTCAGCATCGGGGCGTCTCCCAGAGGGGCCTCCTGTTCCCCAAAAGGGTTCTGAAGTTTTTCTGAAATACCCTGGGGGCTCACCGAGGGGCCCCAGAGGCTTTCCAGGGCCCCGGGGGCTCTTCCAGAGTGCGGCCTATCCTGAAGAGTTTTGGCCACACTCGGGCGTGGTGACACCAGGAAGCAAAGCATGGGCAGGGCGATTGCGATCGCGATGTGCCATCGGGGCTGGCGATGTTGAAGTGCCGCAAAAGAAATGTTGTCAAGACTTCCTCGTCCAGACTTCCTCGGGCGGGGACGTGGGCAACGGAATATCGGGCCCATGTGCAATCACATATATCCCACGAAAGGGGGCTATCATGATGGATGCATGCTGCATACAGAATCATGAGACATTCGGATCAAATCACTGTTGTTGTGTTCTCACTTCTGAACAACAAATATGGTTGGTCCCCCCTGAACGGTGGCCAGTCCGTTTTCAACTAAAGTGGTCCTCCCAGGGCTCGCCCCCTCATTTGTAACACGTTACAACTTATTCAAACGCCGCGCCCTCGACGCTCAGGAATCGCGCTCTCGCTTAGGATTTTCTTGAGATTTACTTGGGAATTGCGCTATTGCCACAGATTTCCTTGCGATTCATGCAAGACTCACGCTTCAGCAACCCGCCCGCTCGACCTGGCCGCGTAGGCCCGCCTGCCCGACCCGCCTGTCAGGGTCTACCCGCCCGATCTGCCCGTCTGGTGCTGCCACGTGTTCTCTGTTCCTAGCCCCCCTTCTGCTAATCCCGTGCTCCGTTCTTCTCCCTCCCCCTGCCATCCGTCCACTCTTCCCCTGTTTAGGGGCTGCATCAATTACGCGCGGCAGGTAAGGAAGATGCATCTGCATAGGGGGTTCGATCGAAGACGAAGAGGGCGGGCATCGAGGGTCTGGAAAATACGTATTGAATGGCACGCGAGCAACCGTTTTGAAATGATTGGTGTTGTTGTCGTCGTCGTCGTCGTCGTCGTCGTCGTCTTCGTCGTCGTTGTCAGCGTCGTCGTCGCCCACGGCCAATCTGCGAACCACCCGCGACCCACCCCGCGACCCATCCGCAACCCGCCCGCGACCCACCCGCGACCCACCCGCGACACATCCACATTGCGTTGACTAACAATCGGCGCCCGCGGTGGGCTTCATCAAATTTGTTTCCGAGCCTCGCAGGCTGCTGACGATCCTCCCGCCGCCCCGTCAATATTCCCCGCTAGTGCGGGGGCTATGGTATCAGCCCCCCCCTCCTCCCCCTCCTCCTCGATCCCCCTCCTCCTCACCCTCCTCTCCCACCTCTCCTCATCGCAACTTGATCCGCTAGGATCGCCGCGTTTGAAAGATAACAGTCGCGAACTCATCGCAGCAAGAAAAACCCGCGTGTGGAAAAAATTGGAATGACTGGGAGCCTTTGGAACGCAAGGAAAGCCGGCAACAGGGAAAAGAGGAGCTGACCGCGGGGCACAGAGCACATCCTGCCACTGCGCACCCCCTTCGAACCACCAGCTCAACACCGACGCGCGCCAGTCCTCCTCCTCCGCCTCCTCCTCCTCCGCTTCCCTCCAATCCTCCTCCCCTCCCCCTTCTCATCGATCCCTCTCCTCCTTCTCCCCCGCCTTCTTCCCCCTTATCCTCGATTCGATCCTCCTCCAGCTCCTCGATCCCCCCCCCTGTCCTTACCCTTATCTGCGATTCACCCCTCCTCCTGCTCTTTCTCCTCCTCCTCCTCCTCCTCCTCCTCCTCCTCCTCCTCCTTTCTCCTCCTCCTCCACACCCCCTTCCTCCTCCTCCCCCGCCCGTCCTCTTCCTTCTCCTCGACCTTCCATCCTCCTCTTCCTCGAACTCCTCAATCCTCGACCCTCCTGCTCCTCCTGATCTTCCTCCTCCTGCTCCTCCTCCTCCTCCTCCATCTTCGGTCCTCGATCCTCGAACCCACTCCTCCTCCTCGATCCTCGATCCTCGATCCTCGATCTCCTTCCCCCTCCACCTCCGCCTCCTCCTCCTCCTCATCCCTCCTCCTCCTCCTCCTCCTCCTCCTCCTCCTCCTCCTCCTCCTCCTCCTCCTCCTCCTCCTCATCCATCATCATCATCATCATCATCATCATCATCATCATCATCATCATCATCATCATCATCATCATCATCATCATCATCATCATCATCATCATCATCATCATCATTTCCCTTTTCCTCCTCTCCCTCCTCCTCATCCTCCTCCTCCTCCTCCCTCCTCACCCTCCTCCCCTCCTCCTGCCCCTCCTCCTCCCCCTCCTCCTCCTTTTCCTCCTCCTCCTCCTCCTGCCCCTCCTCCTCCTCCTCTCCTCCTCCTCCTCCTCCTCCTCCTGCCCCTCCCCCCTCCTCCTCCTCCTCCTCCTCCTCCTCCTCCCCTCCTCCTCCCTCCTCCTCCTCCTCCTCCCTCCTCCTCCTCCTCCTCCTCCTCCTCCTCCTCCTCCTCCTCCCCCTCCCCGCCTCCTCCCTCTCCTCCTCCTCCTCCTCCTCCCTCCTCCTCCTCCTCCTCCTCCTCCTCCTCCTCCCTCCTCCTCCTCCTCCTCCTCCTCCTCCTCCTCCTCCTCCTCCTCCTCCTCCTCCCTTCCCTCCCCTCCCCCTCCCCCTCCCCCTCCCCCCCCCCCCCCCCTCCCCCTCCCCCTCCTCCTCCTCCTTCTCCCCTCCCCCTCCCCCCCTCCCCTCCTCCTCCTCCTCCTCCCTCCTCCTCCTCCTCCTCCTCCTCCTCCTCCTCCTCCTCCTCCTTCCTCCCCCTCCTCCTGCCCCTCCCCCTCCTCCTCCTCCTCCTCCTCCTCCTCCTCCCCTCCTCCTCCTCCTCCTCCTCCTCCTCCTCCTCCTCCTCCTCCTCCTCCCTCCCCCCCCCGCAGGCCGCCCCGCGCCGTGGCCGTGCGCAACTTCGCCCTCACTCCCGCGACCTTGACCGACGCCTCCGCCAGGGCCGGCCCGCAGTTCGCGCGAGGGGGGGAGGTTGGAGGATCGAAGATGAGGATCGAGGTTGGAGGATCGAAGGATCGAGGTTGGAGGATCGAGGTTGGAGGATCGAAGGATCGAGGTTGGAGGATCGGGGTTGGAGGATCGAGGTTGGAGGATCGAGTTTAGAGGGTCGAGGTTGGAGGATCGAGGTTGGAGGATCGAGGTCGGAGGATCGAGATTGGAGGATCGAGGTTGAAGGATCGACGTTGGAGGATCGAACGATCGCGGTAAGGCCGAGGATCGAGGTTGGAGGATCTAAGCTGAGAATGATTATGAGGATGATGATGATGACGATGACGATGGTGATGGTGATGATGACGCTGAGGCTGATGGTAATGATGCTGATGATGACGATGATCATGATGGTGCTGATGGCAATGATGCTGATGAGGATGATGAGGATACTGTTGCTGCTGATGATGCTAGTTATGATGATGTTGATGCTGCTGATGCTTGTGATGACGATGATGGTGACAATGACGATGATGGTGATGATGATGCTGATGCTGATGCTGCTGATGATGATGATGATGAGGATGATGATGCTGGTGATGGAGAGGAGGGGGAGGAGAATCGAAGGTAAAACCTATACATTGTTCCATTTACGATGGGGTTGTCTTAGATCCCTGTCCGTTGACATCTTGTATTTTTCCTTGTTTTATGCAGGCGACCGTGCATCTCTCTGTTTTTTGTTGTTCTCTCTCTCTCTCTCTTTCTCCTCATGTTTACTGGTTTTTGAATGAACAACCAGTCGGGGCTTGGGCTTCGTTGTTTTCTTTGCCTGGAGGCTCTGCTGTTCCTGGTGTTCCTTCTGTTTGGGTTGATTGTTATGTTTCAGTTGGCTTCTGGCGCCATCCGCGCCCAACTGGGGCGTCTCGAGGCGGTGCTGGCGAGGCCGCACACCAACGATAACAGGACATCAATCAACACATAAGAACATCCATGGAAATCAAAACCCCAAGGCAAAACAATCAACTGAACCAACGCCCCGATGGGCTTTCGAAAGGGAAACATTGAACAACCTTAGGTTTCGCTTGGTTTGTTAATGTGAAACCAACCCGGGCCTCGGTTTCGTTGATTTTTTTGTTCGGGCTATGATTTCCCAGGTTTCTTAATGTTTTGGTGCACTTTTGTAATTGTTGGTTTCTGACGCCCCCAGCGCCCAACTGAGGCGCTTCCCTGCGGCGGGGAGGTGGAGGCGGCGCTGGGTAGATGAGGGCGCCGACAATAAACAAAAACAGGAAACTCAACCAAAACATAAGGACAACCATGGAAACCAGAGCCTCCCAGGCAATCAAAACAACTAAACCAAGGGCCCGGCTGATTTTCGAAAGGGGAACATTGAAACACCTTAGGTTTTTCATAGTCTTCTTGTTTCTGTATTTTGGTGTAAAATACCGGGGCCTCAGTTTCGCTAATTTTCCCAACCCTCCCTTGGTTGGGTTCTCTTTTTGAACAAGAGCAGTGGGGTATCCTCCTCCGCCTCCTCGCCCCTCCCCCGCTCCCCTCTCGGCTCTGTCCTCTCGCAGCCCCTTTGGGGGCCGCGAAGTGTGTCAATTTCGCCACTTTCGTGGGCTGCTGGGGGAGCCAACGCAATGGGGCTACACGCAGATCCAAACGGGACTTCGCCATCCCTGGAGGGCTGCGAAGTTCGAAACCGTCGCCACTTTGGAGGGCCGCTGGGCGAGCCAGCGCAGTAGGGCCATACGCAGTTCCAAACGGGACCGCGCCATCACTGGGGGGCTGCGAACTATGAAAAATTCGAGGGCTGCTGGAGGAGCCACCACCCACACGCGGATCCAACGGGGACCTCGCCACTTTCGAAGGCTGCTGAAGGAGCCATCACAATGGGGCCACTTGCAGATCTAATTGGGACCTCGCCATCCCTGGAGGGCTGCGAAGTGTGAAACTGTCGCCACTTTCGAGGGCCGCTGGGGGAGCCAGCGCAATGGGGCCACACGCAAGTCCAAACGGGACCTCGTCATCTTTGGGGAGGGGGTGCGACGTGTGAAGCTGTCGCCACTTTTGAAAGCTGCTGGGGGGGCCAACACAGTGGGGTTCGTTCCACGCAGGTCCAAACGAGACCTCGCCGTCCCTCGGGGGGCTGCGAAATGTGAAACTGTCTCCTCTTTCTACGGCTTCTGGGGGGACCATCACAGTGGGGCCACACGCAGATCCAATTGGGACCTTGCCATCCCTTTGGGGCTGCGAAGTGTGAAACCGTCGCCGCTTTTGAATACTGCTGATGGGGGCCAGCACAGTGGGGCCCCACGCAGATCCAAACAGGAATTCGCCATCCTGAGGGGCCTGAGGGGGGGGACTGCGAAGTGTGAAGCTGTCGCCACTTTTGGAGGCTGCTGAGGGGGCCAGGGGACCTCGCCATTCCTGGGGGGTGCTGCGACGTGTGCAACTGCAGCCACGTTTGAAGGCAGCCCAGGGGAGCCAACACAGTTG